AAAATCAGTCCGTATCATTATCCTCCGTGATCACTCAAAGTGAGAGGCCATAGAACCTGTGTGATTAATCCAATGAGATGAACATTTTTGCAAACACGGAGTAAATCTAATGAAATAATTTTGTAACAAAATAGCTTAGAATGTTTTTAGTTTGAGTCGAAAAAAATCAAATTAGACAAATACTTGGTAGTATAAGTAGCAGTCATTGCATGTAAAGTTGTATGAACACAAGGAAGAGTCATATTTAATGCCAAGAGACACTTCTAATGTAATGTTGTGTTACTATACTGTACACACTACACAACTCACTAACAATCACAACCCAGTGAAAACCAACTAACCAAGTAAGCACTGCAGCATAAAACTATAGGAAAAGAATAATGATCAATAAGGACTTTGATGAAATTGATTATAAAAAAATAGACGAAGAAGAAAAACCCCCCTCCATGTGGACCGTCCCAAAAATTTCTTCATATTTCCTTCAAAGAAAGATTTGTGGTTGATATTGTTTCCTTGTTTTCTAAATAAACCACAACCAAACGTTTGAGGTGAGTAGGAAGAAAAGTTTAGGACGGAGGGAGTAAGCAAATATATACTGGTTCATACGTGTAGCAGATTCCCAGCAGCAACGCTTCCAGCCTGCAAATAAATGTGTTCGAAGAGACAGATAAGAGTATTAGGCTTAGTTTTTTTTATAATTGGTTGCATCGAACAAAAAACAGATATGAAGCCAAACAAACACTTCGTATGGCAATTTCTCTCACAGGGTGAATTTGTTGGGCAGCACGTAATTGAGAGTTTTAGAATTTTCATTTCATTATTTCTGCCAAAATAGGTTGTGATACGAAGGGCATCTGGAGTAAAATATTGCCACTATGCATCTTTGCATGAATTTAAAGTGTTAAAGAGATTTATACAATTAATTAGCACTATAAAGTTAATGCCACCGCCCACCGATCCCAACTGGTTGGGTTAGGGTGTGCTTAAGATGATGATATAGTATATGAACAAATGCATCATAAGGACCATATGATGTGATTGATCCTTTGCTCCACCAAAATCAAGTTTCTAAAGGTCATAATCGGAACCTCAAATGGTGTATTTGAAGTGTTTTTCATAAGAGAGACAAGGGGCACAAAGCCCAGATTGTAATGAAAAATGCAATTTCATATAACCTTAAGAGCACTTGGTAGGATTTAGTTCATCAAAAAAGTTGAGACTCATACTTCTGGTGTACCAAACAAATGAGGTCGAGCTAGCTATGGAAGAAGGGCATAGTAGTATCTATTTGGCGGCGCATCAGGGGGTTCACACTTTAGTTCAAAACAAAAGTAGTAAGACTAATAACCATAAACAAGATTGTACTGCTATTTAACAACTTACTTCCATGCTGCGAACAGATCTTCCCATGGATGATTTCATCTGAGTAACGTCTTCAGTTGTAGTTGATTGAAACAATGTGTCATGATTTTGAATAGCCTGTGAGAAGGAATAATTATGAAAGTATGTAACAATAATGTATGCCACACATATACATTAATAATAGAATAGAATGTTTGAACATTGTAAAACTTTTTAAGTTTAATTAGGGACAGCTGTAATAAATCATGAATCATAATTATATATTAGCAGTAACTTGTTTGGTAAGTTTTTGGCATGTTACATTAAAAATTAGCTTCATTTGAGTGTCGGAAAATCAATTTTTTTGGGATATGTTTTTTTGAAGCATGACTCCTTTTGGAGGCAAGCACATGAAGTTTTCCCTATAAAACCTTACTAGTCATTATGGAGTACATAGTAGCATTAAAGATACACTATAGAGTATCTTCAGAACTGTTCATTTGATAGCAAAATACTTGGTGTGCCTTGCGAAGGTTTTTTTTAAAGATTAAGAAAATCCTAAGGAGTATATTCTCGCTATGCTTCATGATATCACTGAATGGTTGAGATCAAAATTAAATTAAAAATTCTTATTGAAAATAAAATTAGGCAACCTGCCAATGATGGCAACAAATACTGGGAGATTGAGACATGGTACCTCTGAAAAATATGCCTCATCTCTACCATCCCCAAACAAAGATGAATAATATGAAGGGTCGCATATAGAGCCTCCTAAAACTTCATCAGAGCCAGAGGGTTGTCTAACTATAGAAGGTGTTGCAGGATTGAGAAAACTCTGATTCAAATCAGCATATCCTTCACGATGATTGGGATTGTCTACGTAAGAAGCACCAAGTTTGTACATCTGAATCCACAATAGAGAGGATGATAGCCTCACACAAAATCCAATTATTTGCATTGACAAAGTAAGTTTCAACGAGAACGTAACAAAGGTTCCATAGGTCTCGGATGAAATGGTCCTACGATTCAAAAAGATAAGAAAAAAAGCATAAATATCACTTAAGTATTTCTAGTTTAATGTATTTCTCCATCAGTCCATGTCACTAGTCCACAATAGTCAATAAAGGAGAGAAGTAAAGGGTACCAAATTTCATGTGAGAAGAGAATGAGCCATGAAATGTCAAGCAAAATGGCAAAGAAGAGAAGGACGGCATAGGTTCTGCCAAGCCTCTCACTGCTACTTTCTATGGCGACCAAAGCAAACAAGGCAATTCCAAGATTAGCCAGTGAGACCCCGTTGAACGATGCCCCCAGAGATCCGATCAGCGCACAACCAATCTTCAATTGTAAACCAGATCAGTCAATTCATGCTAAACAAATCCAAAATAAAACACAAATGCAGTTGAAATTTGATAAATACCAAATAATACAACAATGTTTTTGAGTCAAAGCTCAAACAGACAAAAGTTTCATCATCAATTAAATAAAAATTGAATCTCATATTAGTACAAAAATGATTTCATTAGATCTATCTTACATGAAAACTTCAAAAAAAAAAAAATTCGAAAAAATGCAGATAAGCAGAAGAAATACTCACTTGAACGAATAAAAGAATAACAGCAGAGGATTGAATCCTGACATAATCACCACGCCAATTCCATATGTATGTTCTCAAATCATCACAACGCATCATATACACTCACCCGCCCACCAGCAGTTTTCAGTTTACAGAATCGAGATTACTGGGAAAACAACTTCAATTCAATTATGGAAAACGAAGAACAATTGCCGAAACCTGACGACGATTACGCTAATGTGGCTACATTGACATCAGGGAAAAAAATGAAAAAGATGAAACTCCTCCGTAGCTTCTTTCTCGATTTCGCCCCTCCTCGATCGCGGAGCGTTCTTGCAAATTTGTATTGATCTTGCGTTCAACGACAGCGGAGCATCATTGTAGAAGATTGCACAGATGAAGAAATAGGACGGCGATCTCGCCGCCTGCCGGAGTAAGAAGCCGTTCCGGCAGCTACCGTTCTCAATATGAATTCCTTCCAGGCTTGTCAGTCAATCTCGCAGAGGGTTTTTGATTTTCTTTTTTGCAGAAATGATTCGTCACAGGTTCTCACACGTCCTGTATAATTGTTGTATTTGCGGTTTGAGACTTTTTAATTTTTTTACTCGTATTTTCTTTCTTGGTTACTCATTTTGTAAGGAGTATCCCTCCTTATTTCCATCCAAAATAATGCTATTAAAAAAACATCACCCTAAATAAAAAATATAGAAAAAAATATATTAAATTAGGAATTCTATATTTATATTTTCCAAATATGAGTTTACAATGTGGCAATGAGACACTGTACAGTTGCAGTTTACTATATTTTTTGGTAATGTATATGGCTATAATTAGTAATATAAATACATTTTAATCTTATTTGAGGAATAAAAACACAAAACTAATATCTTTGTATATTTTCAATATTTTTACTCCTACTTTTGTTTTTTTACTTTAAAAAAACTACGATGTATTAAATAAATTAGAAAAATCCTAAGGGGTGCGTGTGATTAACATATTACATACGGAGTATGTATCTAATGCGGCATGACTATCAAATAATGAAGCGAATATATAAATTATTTGGATTGATTGAAATGGATGTATTTCAATTTAAAATGGTTGAAATAAAAATAACAAAGTAAAATAACTGGGAGAAGAAGTCGGTAATGACAATAATCATTGTAGGGGCAATGCGCGCCCTCGAAAGGTTAAGAGGTGATATGGGATGGGACGCGTGGAAGAGGTATGAATGAGTAGGATGACACAATTATGATATTTGATCACAAATACACATGACGTACACAAACTTAGTATTTGTGAGTGAGTGTATATATATTTGCATAAATAGTAAATTTGCATAGACAAGGTTATAATGGTATTCATTTTGAGTGTGATATTATGACACTCGTCTAATTGAAACTCTTATAGCATCGTATTACGTTAAAAACAATTGATGATTTCTACATCGTAACACATCTTTAGTGTTCGGTCGGGTCAGTTAAGATCAAGTTCGGATTGAATTGTCATCCCTACCCTCTAGTAACTCTCCCACCACGACCCAACTTGAACTCACCTCACACTTTCTATTACACTACCAAATCTAGTTGACTTTGTTGTCAATAGGAACTTCAATATGTGAATTAGGTGTCATTTTGTTTTTGATTTAAAGCTTGTTTTCCTACCTTATTCTTATTGGAATTAAATGATATTAGATTAGATCAGATTAAATTTTAATAAATCATTTTTCTATTATGATATTCGGATTGAAAATTTTCGTCTTATGGGTCCGAACATGTAAACTATAGGGGTGTTCATTCGGTAAAACCGTACTGAACCGAATCAAAATTTTGGTAAATCAAAATTTCGGTATCATTATTTTTGTACCGAATACCGAATTCAAACTTCAAAACATTTACAATTCAAATTTCAAAACATTTAAAGCAATAAAGTGAAGTAATAATTATTTTTGTACCGAATACCAAATTCAAACTTCAAAACATTAAAATTCAAACTTCAAAACATTTAAAACAATAAAGTAGAGTAATAATTCGGTATTCGGTAAAAATTGATTACCAAATTATTAAGCAAAACCAAACTGAATCGGATTTTTAGAAAAACGAAAAATTGAATACCAAACCAAATTATTTGATTTGATCTAGGTACGTAACAAAATTTTGATTTTAGTACGGTTCGATCGGTTTCATATCTTTGGTTTTTAAATTTGGTTCCGGTCCAATCCAGTTCGGTCTTCCGGTCTTGGACCGGTGCTCAGCCCGTAGCACTTTTCTAACTCAGACCTCTAGTGCAGAACCGAAACTTGCCGGAATGGATACCGAAGTTCCTTCCACCGATAACGTATCATCGCTTCCGGGACCGGCGGCAGAAGTTCCGTCGCCTGAGATCAACGCGTCCTCAAGTGCGGCACCGATTCCGCCGCCTTCTGCGTCGCCGATGCAGCGAGATAAGCCATGGCACACTTACATATCGGAGGATCTGCCTCGCACGGTCCAAGAGTCCACGGATTCCGCCATTCGCTCGGCGCGTTCGTTCCAGAACTCCTCCTCCTTCCACCTTCGCTCTCTCCAGGTACCAACCGATCATCTCCTTGCCGCAATTTTTGTCTATAGTGCATCTATCTAATTTTAGGGATAGTAGGACTGTTAAGGTACAAGCGGTCAAGTAACATCACATGTTGCAGACCTCGTGGAATAAATTAGACCGCTCGTATGAAATAGAGCTTATTTTTTCATGATGGAGCTTCAAGCGGTCAACGTATGAGGACAGCTCTAGGGCTTCTAGCTGCCGTTTGGTAGTGGAAGAATGAAAAATCTTATGCAACTTTCTGGTTTGAATCTTAACATTAGACATTAGACATTAACATCACATTGTGTACCTAACTATCAGACTTTTTCACTGTGTACTGCTTACATTTTGTCCACTTTTTTTTTTCTTACAGGATTTTCTCCCACAATTAAGTTCACAGTATAGAGCTTATGAAGATGTTTTCTTCAAGAAAGTTAAAGGTGATAACATAAGATACATTCAAATATTCCATGTTTTTCAGTAAAGTGTAAGTGAATCGTTAAATGTTGGATGGCTACTTATTGTGTTTACATGAGGCCAAGTTCAAAAAGGAATTGTGAGCAATCAGCGACAGAAAATATTGCAGCCATTGGCCACTATAACATGATCTTAATTGTGCACAATCCTGAAAAGGTTAAAATTCATTGGCAGTTGGCACATGACATTATACTGGTATACAAGTCATACAATCCAGAGTGATTACACTTACACAAGGCTACATGAGGATGTGCATTAAGCATGATAAATGATGTTATAAACAACACTATTGCTACCATTTCCCTAATTGCAGCTGCATAGGGATGTCAAACTGTCAATTCAACCCGGATTCGACCTTTACTAACCCAACCAAAATCCGAATCCAATCCGATAAAGTATCCAAACCTGACCTATTAAATTAAACCCAAACCTAGACTAAGTTGGCTTGGGTTTGGATCTACTAAAACTCAGACCGAACCCAACCCATTGCCATCCCTCAATTGTATTTTTGATAATTTTCTGGATCAGTGTTTGTAATGGTTATAGACTTGGTTTTTTTTACTTTTGTTGTTCTCAGCTAACCATTTCTATGAGGTTTTCTGTTTGTTAGCTGCTTATGCTCATAAATTCATAGTGTTTATCATCTTTATAGATGAGATAATTAGTGCAAGAGAGCATCCGACTCTAGCTGGTGGAATTGTTGTTGCTAGTGCCCTCATGCTCATGAGAGGTATGCATGTTTGCGTTTACTCTAAAAAAAATTTAACTTTTCTTCTGTGTTTTATTGATATGCATGATGGTTCATCAACACCCTTTGATTAGTTATTGGAGGCAGTGATTCAACCTTGGTCCATGTTGATTATTTTGAATGTAATATGCCATATTGAATTTCGTGCGTGCTATGTCCTTATTCTGTTTGTATAAATAAGCTTCAAATTCTGCATATATGGGCTGGAAACCATGATACCCCTCTCCTGATACACTAGCATTCACAAATCAATGAGATTTTCATAATTATATGTTCATATAACCTGATGGCTTTATTTCAAAAGCGCATTTAATATATATGGACTATGGGACTAATTCTTCCCTATCAACAATATCCTCTGAAATTGTTTCACCACGGTTGGCATGCCGCCCTGTCTCCAGTTAATCATAGTTTTGTATAGGGTAATATTAATACGGAGTATACATTACTGTTCATCAAGTTGGACTATTGAACTAACGGCATATAGAGCTTCTTCGTCTCAATGATACTACCCATTTTCCATTGATCTAGCTACTCATGTTTGCAGGACCAAGAAGATTTATATTTCGCAATACTTTAGGTCGTTTTCAAAGTGAGGAGGTGTGTCATCTCTTATGTCATTCCAACAGTTCTATAATTTTTTATCCACTACTATCCTGTTAAACAAATGTCTAAATACTGGTTTGTTTTTTTAAATGACTGTTTATAGTGGGGTTTATTTACTTGATGAAGCGATTATGCAAACCGCACCCAACCTTTCATTCATGCAGGCACGATTTAATAAAGCAGAGAAGAAAGTGAAAGAATTGAGTATTTCTGTTGATTTAATGAAGAATGAGAGCAAAAAACTACTTCAAAGGGTGGCTCGTGCTCACGAGGATATGACGCATGGCCATTCGGAACTCATGTATTGTATATTGTTTTAAGCATCTCCTTTTCATATTTATCTTACTTTTCCTAGATCTGCATCTGACCATCAAGGGCTCTAATGCTATATTGTAGGAATGCGGGAGCTGGGATTCAAAGTCTGACAAAAGCTGTTAACAAGGCTGAAGCTCAAGCTACCGGTTCGTGAAAAAATTCTTTCAAGTTACATCTTTCTTCAAGCTCAAGCTATTTTAAATGTGTGTTTGCTTGCAACTTTGGGGGGAGGGATGCTTTTTTTTTTATGAAAGTAAATGCACTATTTCTCCAAAACGGTATGTAGGAGAAGAAACTTAAACTAGCAATGGATGGATTTCATATCCATAGTGACCATAGTTATAACAATGAGGTGCTAGTGGACCATCGAATCTGCCTAGGAGATAGTTTGATGACAAATGATAAATAGATACGGAGTACACTATAAAATAAATCACAATTCATAAATTGTAAAGTTCAATGTCACCATTATTTAATATCCATTTAAAACAATAAAGTACACACTCTCAGATATCAAGAAAGCTAGGATCCTAGAGTCTCTTTAAACGGATCGTAACTTTGAGAACTCCCACTATCATGCATAAGTATCCTGAATACGATGAAAAAAACTTAATTAACAAAGTATTTTTAGCAGAAATGAATATATGCTACTGAAAATGAGCAAATGAAAAAACCAGTTGAAATTTCAATCCAAAAAAACATTCTGATAACTATTATCTGTAATTAAAAATTGACAAATATAAAGTCTGGAATGAGAAAACTATCGTAATATGATGGACAATGATATCTCCAAATGTTTGAAATAAGGAAATATAGAAAATTAAAAAGACAATACATAAAAACAAAAAAGAAGATAAACATTGGGTTACCTTCTGCTAACTTCAATGAGGATGATCAATTGAGCTTATGAGCTGCTGTATCCAGTCAATTCACTGGAAGCTTGGGTCGCCGTGGTATAGACGTATGGCGGAAGACTTGATCACTGGAAGCAGAGTTCATCTGCCTTCATTAATCCCCATCTATAGAGAGCCCGGCTTTATAATTTAAAGAAATCAATTGAAAAGAATAGTTGACCACTTGACCTTGGGTTAGACACTTTTGGTGTTAGGGATGGACAATTGTAATATGAATTTATTAAGTCCAAACTTACCCCTAAAAAAACCTACGACTAGAATATTCTTAATTAGATGAGACCTATAAGTGCTTCCATTTTATACTATGTTAACTATGAAATTGTAACTTTAAAAAACTACTTGTAGGCGAACCAAATTTATTTCATTACAGGTAATATATAGTAATCCAATTTGTAGATTTGATGGACCTGCTGCGGGAGATTCCAGGAAGAGAGCCTATAAAACTAAGGGCAGAGGTAAGTCTCGAATATGTATGTATAATGTAATAAACTGTTTTATGCTTCATTCTTATTTTATTATACTCCGTATTAATTAATCAATGCTTCTGTCTTGTAAAAGGAATTTGGTTTTATGAAGCTATATATGGAGCATTTATTTTTTGAATTTTACACCCGTTGGAAATAGTTAATTTTAACTATTTGCTGGTTTAACTAAACTTAACATACTTAATCTATTTAGAATACCTTTTTAATTTAAACATTAAATATAATGGAAATTGTTTTGTTTTGTTTTGTTTAAATAGGACTCCTTTTTTCTTTAGGACTACATTTTTTAATTGAAAATTTCTCAAACAAAATTCGACCAGTTGGATTATTTCTTGCCAGCATTAAATGTTGAAATGCTGCTTAGCTGCCCCATAAAATGTTTTACTTTATTATGTTTTGACTGAGAGTGAAAAACAAATTGTGAATCAGGTTGCTTCTATGGCATCACATCTCCGACAACAGAAGAAAGCATTGGGCAAAAGGATTGTTAAGATTTCGGACATGGGCGTTCCAGTGTGACAACCTTTTTGTTTTTTGGTTGGTTATCTCAACCATTAGATATATCAGTATTTTTTATTTTTGGGTGCTTCAAAAGATGTCTGTGATATAACTCTTCATTGCAAGCAACTGAATTCAACTCCATACATTTTACTCACTCTGTTCTTTTTTTATTTTATCAAACCATTTAAAAAAAATACAGAGTATATATTTTGTTCTCAATTAACTGACTATTGCAGAATTCAATGGGCTGTGCTAAAAACCCACCACGGATGCCTCCAATATGCTTTGCACGTATGTGTATGCAGTATAAATGATTATTGTCTGTGCGTGTCTGTGCAAAGTATGGGGCACACATCTGGTATTTACCGTGGTTTTATTCAAATCCAATACATGAAATGGTTATTTTTCCCTTTATGTACTTGTGTTGTGTAGGGAGTTATTAAGTTCATCATAAAACTATGGAAATGAAGACTATACTCCCATCCATCTCTTGATCCTTCATTTATTGTTTTTCAAATTCTTCAATGGAATTGACAAGAAAAAGGGGGTTTTGGAAGGTGGAATTAATTGGGGTATTTTTGGCCAAATAAAAAAAGGAATGCATTCTTAGGATCCTTTTGATTGGGAAGAATTATTTTTCACATAAATATTTTCAGGGAAAATAATTTTTAAGAAAAATTATTGCCCTATCACATTTTCCATTTTTTGGTTGGAGGCAAATTCTTATGTGGTTTTGAGGTCTATGTTAATTTTATGAATTTTAGTGTATTGATATCATAAAAGAATTAGGTTGTTTACAAAAAAAGAAAAGATTCATTTGTTAGTCAATGAAAAGTGTTAAAGGTTTAATATTTTATATGCAGATTTTAAAACCACGAAAAAACTATTCTCGGTGAAAAGAAAAATTCTTTTCTCAAAAAAGAATTTTCCATTGTTAATATTAGATTCACATTTGTGTGGTGCACGAGAAGAAATTTTATCGAAATCTACATAACGATTATTCAAAAAGAAAAACTATTACAAGTACACATTAAAATGTTTTAGAGTCACTCGAGGTATTAGTGTATTACCTAAGCAAAAGAATGTTGATTAATTTTAAGTTGTACTCCGTATAAGATACATTGAAATTTCATATGTTGCACCTTAAACAAATTTTCTCATTAAACCCCCATATTTGAAACAACCATGCTATGGGTACACGGACCAAGAAATGTACCCTACAGTGTACACTAAAGGTACACACTAACATTTTGATGGTTTCCACTGACACAAAATGCTAGTGTGATTAAAAAAATTGCACTATCATTTTGTATCTATGTGAACCATCACACTGGCATGGTGAACACGTATAGTGTAGAATTTAGGGTACAACTTTTGGGGTAGGAGTAGCTTAATTCTGTTTGTCGCCAAGAATAAAAACATTTTAATGGTTATCTTATATACAACAATAAAGATCAGAGATTTTGGTGTCATTCGGTGTTCTCTTCACAAATTCAGAGTTTCTACCATTTCAATTCTCCCGGTAAATCGCCACATTGGTCCAACCCTGAATCCACCCCCGCCCTGTTAATGGACCCCTCAAGTTTAAGTGGCTTGGGTTAACTAAGCACTGTAAGAAATATGAACATTCAATTTTTTTCAAACAAAATGCTGTAAGAGCTCGTATAAATTAGCATCATTGGATGACACTAGCCCGAATAAATTAGTGTCATTGGATGACACTAACCTTCAATTTTTTAACTTTTTCAATTTTTTTTGACTTTTTCTAAATTGTGTTTCGCTTCCATTAGGGCTCAAACCTATATTTATTTCTCTGAATTCATTTTAATGAAAAAATTCAGTACTAAATTATGGAGTATTGATCAGAAATAAAATCAATTTGAAGGGGCCCTCATTCTTCCCAAATTATTATTATATTTTCTCCATATTTTTTTTACCTATTTACTTCTTGTTTCTCATATTTTTTTAAAAAATAATTCTAGTAGTTATGGTTCCTTCCAAACCAATTGTTTAAAAAAATGAGAATTGAAGATCATAGGGAATCTCAAAAAGAAGCACTTGATAAATGTTTTTATAAGTTCTAAAAAAATCGTCTTTTGGCACAAAGTTTAAATAAATAAATTTGTGTGATAAAAGTGATAGATAAGAAAAAAATTTGTGAGTCACATAAAATTTTCGAAAACAGGAAATATAGTTTTTTTTCCTGTCCCGTAAAAGGAGGGAAAAGTCTTATTTATAGACAGAGACAATATATGTTTTTTTTTTGTTTTTTTGCTTCTATAGAAAACAAGAAATGAAAATATTTTAAAGTTGAAAAAGAGAGTGGAAATTTTCCCCTTTTTATATAGTCACAGTTAGACCTGGCAATCGGATCAATCGATTCGGTTCCGGTTCGGGTCTTTTCGGTTCAGGTCTCATTTGGATATATGTTATAATCGGTTCAGATCGGTTTGGTTCGGGTCAGTTCGGTTCCGGATTTATTTCGGTTTGACTGGTTTTCAGTTTCGGTTCGGGTTTGTATCGGTTCAGGTTTGTATCGGATCGGGTTTATACTGTTGAAACACGGGCTTGTCACGTTTTCGTACTAAAGCCGTGTTCGTTTTTGTAACAGGTTTTGATAATGCCAAACCGCCGTGATAAAGTCGAACATTGAATATACAAGGCGAAGAACGAAGATAAGAGCAAGAGCTAAACGAAGACCAAGAACGAAGACCTTAATCATAGTATTGAGTGGGTCTTTATTGTGATCAAGACCGACTCAATCTTTACACCTTGGCTCTTTAGGCTAAGATCTCTCATTGCATTTCTTACATCATAAAAACGTTTTTCAAATTTGTTTAAGTCATTAAAAACACTTGGTGTTCGCCCAAACCAAAAACCAAGCCATCCAGTGTTCGGCTTTCAGAAACCAGCGTTCGGCTTTCGGTTGTCGGGTTTAGTTTTTGGCATCCGAACCAACCAAGTGGTTTTCAGCATTTTATGATCTGCTTTCACTCTTTGGCATGTTTAAACGGTTCTCCAACAAAAACACTTTGAAAATCATCTCTCTCTTTTAGTCGTTTGACAAAAACCACGCAAAACGGCGTAAACTTGGCTAGCCGTGGTTTTTACTCAAATGACGTGATTTTTAAAGTGTCTCAC